TCCTTGGAGAACTTATTTTCTTATAAAAGACTGGCCATAACTAGTAAGTATTGTCAATGACAGATATGGGGGACATGAAGTACCAAATACAGTAATAATGTAGAATTAAAGAGAAGAAAGAAGACAGCGTGTGCGGAGGAATTAGAGAAGGTGGCAGGTTTTTAATGGCAAATTTTAATGCTTAAACCTGGTCATGAAGGATGACCAAGACTAGTTTCCTAGAGGTATAGAAGAGAGAGGTCTGTCTGCAGAGAAAATCAAATCATTTCCAGTGATGACCAAGGACCTCAAGTCCTGGCCTGATTAGAAAAGAAGCAGAGCCATTGTAAGTTTTTGTCTAAGAGAATAATACAAGAGTGTTTTTAAAGAGGTTTTACAGGATGCAGAAGGGGCATCCCACACAATGAGGGGACATTAGAGTAAAAAAAAAAATGAGATAATAAGGACTGGGCTAGTATAGTGGCAGTGTGCTTGGAGAAAGAGGTGTTGGTGGGATGAGTTTGAACCGAAACATCGGCATAATGCCTTTACTGACTAGATTTGAAGGCTATACAGGAAATGTCATTAAACTTCATATAAAACTTTATTCTGAACATTTCAGTCAACTCCAAAATTACCCAAAATATCAGGAAACCATGGTTAGAAAACAAAGTAGACCCGGGCATGATGGTGAATGTCTATATTCCCAACACTTCAGAAGCTGGGGCAAGAGGATTGAGATTGGATCCAAGGCCATCCTGGGGTACATAGGAAGAAACCTACAATAAACAGGCAAAGAAGGTCATGCTGTTGTGCTACTTTTTGAAGCATTTTCTAAGTTTTTTCAGCAAGTAGGCTGAAAGAATTGCTGAAGTACCTTTTAGAGGGTGTTGGAGGAGCGGGGCTGGATGTGTTAGCATCTAGTTAGTTACTGAATCTATTTAGATGCTCAGCTTGGAGCAAGATCTATGTGTAAACTTAGAGTGAAATCCAAGTCATATTCAGATGTCAATTGTTTTCTTGGAATTTGCTTATGTAATTGATGAGAGAACAATGCACAAAGCATTAATTACTTTTCTTATCAGAAAGATGAAAATAATAGAGATAAATAAAACCCATGAAAGGCTGAGGGAAAACATAACTTTAAAAGACTCATTAGTGGCCAGGTGGTGATGGCACATACCTTTAATCCCAGCATATGAAAGGCAGAAACAGATGGATCTCTGTGAGTTCGAGGTCAGCCTGGTCTACAGAGCTAGTTCCAGGATAGCCAAGGCTACACAGAGAAACCCTGTCTCAACCTGCCCCCCCCAAATACTCATTAGTGTAATAGTAATAAAGCAAATGTCAAACTCTGTAGATAAGATACCTCAGTACCTCCAGCCATTTTAAATTATACAGCTATTTAGTAACTGCTTATTAAATCTGCATCTCATTACTTCTAAAATTCACCTTTTCTTTTTTTTTAATTTCAACATTTTAAGTTGAATTGTATCCTCCTGTGGATATCATCTTGTTATTCTTGGCTAGCCAATCATTACATACCTCCATCGCCTTCATCCATTTCCTTTGTTTTTCTATTTTGTGTATGCACCCTATGTAGGATAAATTATATCCAAATAAGTCTAAGAGAACTCTGTTAGTTAAAAAAAAAAAGCCAGTGTCAAAAGTGAAAAAGCAAAGTCTGAGAGCACGTTTTTCTTTCTCAATAGAACATAAATTGGCAGGCTTTTAAAAATATTTATTTTTATTTTGTATATATGGGTGTTTTGTCTGTATATATGTATGTGTACCATATATGTGTAGTGCCTCTGGAAGCCAGAAGAGGGCATTGGATCCCCTGGAACTGGAGTTACAGTTATGAACTGCCATGTGGGTTCTAGGAATGGAACTGGTGTCTTCTGCAAGAGTAGCAAGTATTTTTAACTGCTGGACTATCTCTCCAGCCCTAAACTTGTGTGTTTTTAATGAAATTGTCTTAGAATTGATAAAATGTAGTATAAAAATAGCTGATAATGGCAAATCTTCACCAGTGAGATACAGATAACTAAAATATTTGTTTATTTACTTTTTTTTGAGATAAGGCCTCATAGTGTGTGTATACCTGGTTGGCCTAGAACTCACTGTATAGAATAGGCTGGCCTCAAAATCACAAAGATCCATTTGTCTCTGTCTCCTGAGTGCTGGAATTAAAAGCATGCACCAACATAAAATAGTTTAAATGTGTCCTTCCATTGGCCTAAATTATAAGAGTCCCTTGAGTTCATTAAATAAGGATTTGGGATATGAGGAAAAAAGTTTCTCCCAGTGGTTTAAGTACCACCTGCCCAGATCAGAAATCTCCATGCAGGATCCATTTTTGCAATAGTACTGGATACAAACACTCCTAAAACTTGAGTTATTAGCAGTATTATCAAACAGGTGCATTTTCCTCAAACCAGTTTGCCTTTTAACCTTAAATCACTATGTGGTCCAAGCAGCTCTAGATAGATAGATAGATAGATAGATAGATAGATAGATAGATAGATAGATAGATAGATAGATAGAGGTAGATACAGATCTCTCTATATAGATTATATATAAATATATATATATAAATTTATAGATTTTATTAATAATGACAACCTAATTATTCATATTGAACTTCCACTAGTCAGTACAAAACATACAAGCAAGCAAGCATAAATAGTCCTTACTCTACTCTGAGTAACTTAAAATCTGGTACTGGCTCATCATGCCTAGGCTAAGGGCTGCAAAAATAGTCTATAGAAAAACAGCAACAACAAAATGTCCTAGGACACAGAGGGGCAAGTGGCTCAATACCCCTCGCTAAGGGTGACGTGGTTACCAAGTAGTGGATATGCTGTGCAGAACAGGGGAGAAGGCTTTAGGCAGAATGTCCAGTCTTCTCAGGAAGGAAGACATGAACCTCCTTCAGAGCGGTGCTGTGCTAGTCTCAAATCATTGCCTGGATTGTGAGTTTGAGATGTTGTCTCACTCACTTTCCGACCTGTCTAACTGCACCTGAGTAGCCGGCGCTATGCAGAGCATCTTCTTGCTGTGGTTGGTGTGTGGAGGCTGTACACGAATATAAAGTCTGCAACTGTTGTTGTGTGTATTGCCCTCCCAAGGAAAAGCAGCCTCAAGAGAATGTTTATGCCACTGAAGACTTGGGGATAGCCTTAATGTCCCATTTTGGTGAGAATTTCCACAGCATACGCAGCTTAAGCTCTCTCTGCTCCCTGCTCAGGATACCACATATAATAGCTGCCATCTTCTTGCTGCTCAGCTGTCCCTCCAGTCCAAGCATTTTTGAGTATGTTTACCATTTATGCAAATTGAAGGTGAATATATGAGGAAATTTGTATTGGGGATGATATAAAGCTTCTTCATTTAGAATATGCTATCTCTTTCAAAAGTGGACAATAGAAACTTTGGTTTTCAGTACTAGAATTTTTGGGCATTTCTGCACTGTGTCTTATTGACTGGAGGTAGGTTGTTTTTGTGTTCGGCAATACGTCATTGGCAGAAACATACTTCCCGTGGATTTACCCAGCATAATGATCGGTGTATGTGTATATCCTTATAAGTCCATGTTCCAGAACTGATAAGTAGAAATAAAGTTAGCATGTTAAGTTAGAGGGATGCTACTCTTTACTACTAAGGGACACAGTGCTTCAGGTAAGTAATTCTGAAGTCTTCCACCACCTGACGTAACCTTGGTTTGGTCTATAGGTATGTTTTAATTTTGCTTGTTATTTGATTTTAATTGGGTTTGTAGAGCATGCTTACAAATGCAAAGCCAAATTATGGCAAACAACAAGAGATTTAACTGGGTGGTGTGCTGTTAAGAGACTGTAGGAAACTTCAAATGTACAGAAAGAAGCTCTGGCTGCCTATTCTAAAGTGTGTAAAACACTACTCAGCTTTGTAAAGGTATGACAATAGCATTTTACACACACACACACACACACACACACACACACACACACACACACACACACACACACTATGCATACCCAAGGGAGTGAGGTGTTCTGATAAAGAGAAGTTGAGCTTTCTCAGTTAGATCTGTGTATTAGCCAAAACAAGCCATTCGGCTAAGAGCCTTCAGAGGGCTGGGAGAGCTGAGTGTGTGATGAGTGTAGAGTCTGCATGTGAGAGGCACTGATACTGACTTAAATGCTGTTCAGTGCTGACTCTCCAGCTTCCTCTGAAGAGATACATTGTTTTCATACCTGTCTCAGGTCCAGCATTAGAACCAACCTATTGAAAATGAATTGTTTGGAAATAAACAAAACCTTTTCAGATGTAGTAGATCTTTGGAGATGGTATCTCTAGTTCCTAATCAAGTTTCATCATGACACCAGACAAGTCCTATGTGGCCTTTTGCTTTCTTATCTGCAAAACATGGTGGTCCAAACATGCCATGACATTGTCCCTGGGAGCAAAAGGCCCCTCCCAGCTCTCTGGCTGCAGTTTTCTTGTACTGCTCCTGCTCAGACTCCTTCCTCAGAGCTATCGAGACCCATCCCGCCCTCAAGCCACTACTGTTTCTGTCACACATTCCTACCAAGGACTGTGTTGCTGACTTGAAAGGAAGATTACTATTCCACTTGCAGTTGTTGCTTAGTAACATTTGTGATTGTGTTTCTGGTGACAGCGTGAGCAGAGATCATTAAAAATTAAACTCCCAAAGCTGCTAAAGTGGGAGGAAGTGGAAGCAGTGAAGCCACCATTGTGTTCACTTGCTTAGAAACAGTTTACTCTCAGGCTTACATGTAAATCTTGGGGAAAACATTGCATGTCTTTGGTTTATATTAAGCCACATACAGCACACTAACTGACATTGATTTGTGTCCTCTGCAGCTGGAGTGGATCACTAAGACATAAAAAAACAAAACAAAACAAAAACTCGACCCTGCAGAATGGTCTGGAATTACAATCAGATGGGCCACGCGGTGTCCCTGAGAAAGCAAGCTCTAACCTGTTCTGTGTCTGTCTCTGCTTCCTTCCCACAGTTCCACCAGGTGAGAAGAGTGATGACCATCCTTTTCCTTACTATGGTTATTTCATACTTCGGTTGCATGAAGGCTGCGCCCATGAAAGAAGCAAACGTCCATGGACAAGGCGGCTTGGCCTACCCAGGTGTGCGGACCCATGGGACTCTGGAGAGCGTGAATGGGCCCAGGGCAGGTTCGAGAGGTCTGACGACATCACTGGCTGACACTTTTGAACATGTGATCGAAGAGCTGCTGGATGAGGACCAGAAGGTTCGGCCCAACGAAGAAAACCCTAAGGACGCGGACTTGTATACTTCCCGGGTGATGCTCAGCAGTCAAGTGCCTTTGGAGCCTCCTCTGCTTTTTCTGCTGGAGGAATACAAAAATTACCTGGATGCTGCAAACATGTCTATGAGAGTCCGGCGCCACTCTGACCCAGCCCGCCGTGGGGAGCTGAGCGTGTGTGACAGTATTAGTGAGTGGGTCACAGCGGCAGATAAAAAGACTGCAGTGGACATGTCGGGTGGCACGGTCACAGTCCTGGAGAAGGTCCCGGTATCAAAAGGCCAACTGAAGCAATATTTCTACGAAACCAAGTGTAATCCCATGGGTTACACGAAGGAAGGCTGTAGGGGTATAGACAAACGGCACTGGAACTCGCAATGCCGAACTACTCAGTCGTATGTTCGGGCGCTTACTATGGATAGCAAAAAGAGAATTGGCTGGCGATTCATAAGGATAGACACTTCCTGTGTATGTACACTGACCATTAAAAGGGGAAGATAGTGGATTTATGTTGTATAGATTATATTGAGACAAAAATTATCTATTTGTATATATACATAACAGGGTAAATTATTCAGTTAAGAAAAAAATAATTTTATGAACTGCATGTATAAATGAAGTTTATACAGTACAGTGGTTCTACAATCTATTTATTGGACATATCCATGACCAGAAAGGAAACAGTCATTTGCGCACAACTTTAAAAGTCTGCATTACATTCCTCGATAATGTTGTGGTTTGTTGCCGTTGCCAAGAATTGAAAACAAAAAGTTAAAAAAAAATAATAAATTGCATGCTGCTTTAATTGTGAATTGATAATAAACTGTCCCTCTTTCAGAAAACAGACAAAACAAAAAAACAACAAAAAAAATACAAAAATCTGAACCAAAACATTCCGTTTACATTTTAGACACTAAGTATCTTCGTTCTTGTTAGGACTCTGTTTTACTGCTTTCGACTTCTGATAGCGTTGGAATTAAAACAATGTCAAGGTGCTGTTGTCATTGCTTTACTGGCTTAGGGGATGGGGGATGGGAGGGGAATCTTTCTGTTTGTTTTGTGTTTTATTTTGTTTGTTTGTTTGTTTTGTTTTTTAGTTCCGCCAGGAGTAGGGATGGAGAAAATTCTTCAGTATCCATTCTGGTTGATAAAACGTTATATTTGTATGTTGTAAAGATGTTTGCAAAATCCAATCAGATGACTGGAAAGTGAATAAAAATTAAGGCAACTGAATAAAATGCTCACACTCCACTGCCCATGATGTATCTCCCTGGTCCCCAGATCCCTCTTCTGGCATGGGTCAGGGAAAGCTGCTTTTATTGGAAAGACCCGCATTTGTTCAAAGTACACTCTTCCCCTCCCACCTCCTCCTCCTTGGGTCCCTTCTGTTTGTTTTGTTTTATCTTAAGAAAGAAAATTTAGTTGCGCGATTTGAAATATTTTATCACCACTGTGAACAGATGAATGAGGTGTGTCATATCATGGCACTCATGGAAAAGAGTGATTTTTTTGTTTTTGTTTTTGTTTTTTTCCCCCCAAAGAGAAAAAGAACAAGAATAAATAACCCAAAGTATTTTTTTTTTTTTTTTTTTTTTTTTTTTTTTTTTTTTTTTTTTTTTTTAGTAAGTGGTAAGCATTGGGTAAATCATAATAAGGCCTAACAATGTTTTTGCAGGTAAAGGTTACTAAATACAGCCAGACACTTAGATCAGAGCAAGAATCCATACTGCCATTGAAATTCAACTGAAGGGCCCTGTGGAAGCTAAGTGGAGCTAACATACCATTTCCTGGCAATGTAGGAGGAATTTCTGAGTGGCCATCCTGAGGTCTAGGTGGAGGTGGGGAACGGTACTTGAGACATTCCTAAAGGAAGGCACAGAAGCACCCTTCAGAGTAGGCTCTGGAATGATGTGTCAAGTTGCTTAGATCTCCTGTTTTAAGTGCCTACGTTACCTAACAGTGCTCAAGAGGTTCTCATTTGGAGAACCACACTCAAATCCATTTATGCCCTCCATCCCGTTCCTAAATAATTGTGTATAAAGTTGGATTAACCTGGAGCGGGTTTGGATCCAAATGTGGCATTTGTGATGATGAGATTAATGCAATGTGATAGAAAATGTTTGCTACGAGAATGCTTATTTGCTTTGAACTTAGACTCCAGGAAGCCTAGGTTTTATTTTTTGAGTCTTTTGAGACTTTTTGGTAAAAGGAAAAGAAAAAAGGAAAAGGCACCAAAACACAGACAGAATGGTCAAGTTTGTAAAGGCTAGAACTTCTGTGCAGAGACGAGACTGAAGATGCTTTGCACTATGAAAGAGGCAAGAACACAGGAGAAGATTTTGCTCCCAGGAAGAGCACAGAAATCTCCTGCAATTCTGTCTATTCATGGTGAGGGTCCCTTCTGTTCTTTGCCCTTTGGGGTTGGAAGTCAAGTTGGTAGCCTGAATGAATGGACCCAGTGAGAGGTAGTGTTAAGCCCATTTCCCTATTCAGCCTTCTTCGAAGCATGAATGTGTTAGTGGTTACTTACCTGGGTTCCTGAGCATCAGAAAAAGAGGCAAACAATTGCTTCATCTTAAGGGGGGAAAGGATGAACAAAGTGAATGTCCATTGTGACTCAGGGAATGAAGATACCATCAGCAAACAGTTTCTTTTTGTCCAGTCTTTCCTTTAGAATTAGCCTGTCTTTTGGAGTACCACTGAATACCTGTCTTTGAAAGAAAGACTTTATGCAGCATAGATTGTTTTGTGCCGTTTGACAACATTAATCTTTGTCATTGTTTTTTAACCTATTAAGGAATGCTTGGAATATCTGCTATATGTTAACTTTTCACAGCTTCATTCTGAGAGACATCAGTCAAACAAACAAAAGAATCCCCATCACAGTCTTAACAGTATTCCAAAGGCCAGGTCTGTTAAGTGGCTTCATAGGAGACACTCAGCAACTGTGTGGTCAGTGGCTCACTCTCTTACCCAGTAAGATACATCATAGTTACATGTTTGGTGGTTTATGTTGACTTGAGATTTATTTTTAAAATCTCTTCTTCGTTTCTGTTCGTTCTGGTTCTGGTTCTGTTCTGTTCTGTTTTGTTTTTAAAGTCTTGCTGTGGTCTCTTTTTGGCAGAAATGTTTTCATGCATGGCAGCAGACCTGTTGCTTTTTTATAGTGATTCCATTGAAACTGTAAGTAAATGTCTGTGGCCTTGTTCTCTCTATGGTAAAGATATTATTCACCATGTAAAACAAGAAAAATATTTATTGTATTTTAGTATATTTATATAATTATGTTATTGAAAAAAATTGGCATTAAAACTTAACCACATCAGAAGCGTATTGTAAATACAGGTTCTATTTAAGTGTACCAATTAACATATAATATATGTTTTAAATATAGAATTTTTAATGTTTTTAAATATATTTTCAAAGTACATAAAATCTGGGGGTTCTGGGTTTTTTTCTCTTTACTGTTAAGTATGAAAATGTGTTTTATTATAAATACATGTGTTCCTTGCTTTAAGACCAACTTGACTAGTGGTAGCAACTGAACAGTCCCCACACAGGATGCTTATTTCAAAGCATGGGGAGACCAATCCTGCAGTCTGTAAGCTTCAGAAAAGCTCCAGGATTGGGCCTGTCTTCTGTAGTAGAAGACAGGAGTGTCATTTTCTAGGACATTTGAAACTTTTCCCCTTTGAAGTGATATACTTTCATCAAATACCAAACCATGTATCCTAGCAACATCAGGATCCATGAACCAGGGCTGGCAGGCTCTATTTGATTATAAAATAACTGCTTAAAAAAATCAAAGTAGGTTTACTTAGGGATAATGAGAATAAATTGGCTCAAATTTAGAAAGTCAATGACTGAAAATCTTGCAGAAATTCAATATTTGGAGACAGGTCGTGTCCCCTTGCTTTGGAAGTGATGCCATTTGCAGCATGTGCTTGTATCCATCGCACTGATTTAATTTTTGTATGTGGAGCATGCAGATTTCATATCACAGTGCCCATGATCTAACAGATTGCTACAATCTCTAAAAAGATTTGCCTCCATGATGGCTGCCAAGCCGCTGGGTAATTTAGTTAAAGTGTTTAAAGTTATCACTAAATCTTAGGGAAATAAATGGAAGGGTTTTAAATTAGAGAAAGGGCCATTAAGGAAAAGAGCATCTGTTCTGACTCCTCAGGCTCCCTGTTTGAGCACTGACAGCCCATCCCAGAAAGTGGTGAACTATATCTGTGCAATGTATCATTTCTATTTCAAACATACACACATGGTTTCCTCGTGTATTGTCTTATAAATAAGGATCAGGAAAGTCATAACAAACACTGACTTGTGTTGTGTATATGCAAGAGCAAATCGAATGAGATGGATGACTCTAATCTACCCCGTGCATTTGCAGAACACTCCAACCTCTGAGAATCCCCCTCCCCAACACACACACACACACACACACACACACACACACACACACACACACACACCAGCCAGCCAGCCCTGAAAGCCCAGTCATGCAGTTAGAACTTTGTAATACTTTAGGCTTACCCAATTTTCATAGTTGACAAAGACCAAAATGTTTTTGAAACTATTGAGTAACAAGAGGTGGAAATTAAATAGGATGTCCATGTTTGTGAAGTAAAAGGGGTTTGGCAAATAGGGTGATGTTTCCATTAGTGCTGAAGGTCAGATCAAACTGTAAAACTTACTTAGCCAACATAAAAGTCACCTATATCCAGACTGTAGCTATGACCAAAAAAGTGAGAGAAAGTATGAGGTCAGAGGAATAACAAAACGGAAATATTACTAAATTACCCAAGTGGAGTGTAACAGGAGTAACCAGTTTGCACTGAAATGAAACCTGTTTAATCATTAAGAAGCTTGGAAATAAGTTGCATGGTTTGATCTATTGTTTTCATCACATTAGTGAGCCTCTGTGGTCAATCAATGTGTCTATGAGGTTGTTTTACCATCTATACTGATTTTATCAATAATATCCCAACTCTGAAAATTTGAAGTAGGTCTTGGAATGAAAGAGCGAGATTGTCCCATGTTCACTGAAATGATTAGCAGGCTCCAGAAAACAGGTCAGACACCTTTGCATTGCACCAGTAGACTTCAGACCTTGCCTCCAGGCAGCCAGCACTCCTGGCAGCATTATTAGCTTCTCCCATTCTAATAGCAAGTGTGTTCTATAAGTCAGTCAAGATGAAATGTCCATGTTTTTAGTAAGCTATTGTTAACACAGCTAGCTGAGATTTAAAAGAAAAACACATCCATCCATCCATCCATCCATACATACATACATACACACATACATACATAGGTAAATATATGAAGTATTTAGCATGGAAAGAACCATCATAGACTGGAAAAAAATTAATATTTGATGGGACCTGGACCGTTTTTTTAGCTGTGTGTTAACTGTTGCCTTAAAGGTCGGTTGTTTGGTTTGGGAGGTCAAAGGAGAGCAGCTGTGACTCTGACTCCTTTTAGCTGCATTGATCTTTCTATAGCTGACCAACTTCTACCTTAGAGCCCAGGACCTGAGTGGGTCGCAGTCACTATAAAGTATCCAGCATGCCTAGACAGTCCAGCTAGTGAACACCCCAATTGTACCTCTACCACCAGTATTTTGAACATCATCTACTCTTTTAATTTTAGCAAGTACTCTTTCTAGGAAAAACTGCAAGTGCCTTACATTTTAACATATGACAAAACACAGTAGATTATTTGAAGAATATGAACATTGCACAGGAACATTACACACCCATGACAAAAATACTATGGCATTTTACACACCTATCCTTCCTTAACAAAAATCTATTTATGTGACATGACGTAGAATTGCCATAAGCCTTTACCTCAGTTCTTTTTATAACTTGGTAAGCAACCACGTGAAAAGCTCCTAACTTGGCATTTGCCTTTGGAAAAATAACAATTTTGAATGCTTGGTAATGGCTGTAGCATCAAACTGTAAAAGCTAGTCTTATAAATAAATAAATAAATAAAACCAAACACTTGCATGCGCGCGCGCGCACGCGCGCGCGCACACACACACACACACACACACACACACACACACACACACACACAACTGCTTTTTGCATTTATTCTGTATTTAAATGTGAGCTGCTATTTGCTTTTAATCTGGAAATATGAAGAAAGTAGTTCCCTTCAGAAAAATATTGTTTCCTTTATCCTGAAAACAATCTCACACCAACTGTTGTAGTTAATGACAAGATGTGTCTGAAGCATG